TGAACATAATTCGGCAAACAACTTGCGTAATGTGTAGCAGCTGTGTTATTTGGCCAGTGTAATCCTGGGGTCCCGGGAAATAGAACTGTCGCCTTCTGCCAGGTGAGAAAGTAGACCATTTTTTGCTGTGATAAGATTCACTTCAAATTTCCTCCGTGCATTTTTGGGGATTATATTAACCCGTTATTAAATCTTATTTTTTTTTTTTCTATACACAAGTGGGAACAAGCGTAGACAACTTGTATATACAGTAATAGAATTTTATTTTAAATTAGTTTTATTTTAAAAAGTCACCTGGATGCAGATTTGAGTTACTGTCTTATGGTTCTCAAGGCAGATTGTTTTAAGGGATATCATAAGATTGTAAGCATTTGTTTTTGCAAGGGAAGAAGTCTTGTGGTAAAACATTATTAATGCTTCGTATTTGGTGTTATCCAAGTGAGCTACAAATGGGTATTATTGTAAAAAAAAAAAGGCTGCTTTTGAAGTTGAAGTGGAAGCATTTTGAGTCACCTTCAGTAGACTGAATTCTCTCTCTCTCTCATGATTAAATTCATCGTTCATGTCACAATTAGTGCCTTTAAATATATTTATTCAGAATTATAGCAAATGTGTGTGTATATAATGAGATCTGTGCTGATTCTGTATTGTAAAATTAGTTGTGCAACTGACAGCTATGGCATTCGTGAGGTTCTTGAACCCACTGGTATGTTTACAGTTAAAGGAAGGGAATCTTGTGGTTCATTAAAGCTTTTTGGGAGTTTGATCTTTGTTGACATGAATTTGTAATGGTTCTCCCAAGTAACTGCATTTGTGTTGAGATGAACCTCATTGTAGCAACATATTATTTTTGTACACAGGTTCTCTGTCCTATTATAAAGAGAAATTGTAAGTGTTGCACAATAATTAGCATACTCGGTGGGTGTTAAATATGTGTAACAGAATATCTAAGAATCCAAATGTGCCATTACCCAAGTCATCTAATAGCAGATCTTCTTAACACACAAACACTGATTTCACAATGACATTCAGTAGCTGAATAAGTCATGGGCAGGTCTTACTATCTTCAGTTACTAGATAAGCAATATACGCTAACAAATGTGTACGAGACCCCCTGGCAAGGATCTACATTGTTGTGCATTAATAAGAATGAAATTGCACTTTTTGGATTGATGTTTAAGAAGCGGAAAGGTGTGGAATTTTGTTTTCAAAGGTAGACTTTTTTTTTAATGAGAAAACAAGTCAGTATTAGGACTATAGAACAGTTCCATATTGTTGATTGTATATAGCTGTTCGTTTTTATGAGCACAAAATAAAATCAAAAGATTACAAATGTTTTTACATCCTTTGTAAGTGCGTGTCTATACACAATGTTTTTCAAGGCATCCCACATCTTAGAGGAGGAATTATTCATTAATAGCCTTCATAGTTCAACACATGTATAAACATTGTCCTTTCTTCTCCATAGATGCCTCTTTTTCTTTCTTGAACCCACCATATCATTGGTGCATTGATATGGCGGGGAAAACTATCATGGTTTGATGGCTCGAACAATCATCGAGTATGAATTATTGTGTATTCTCTTGAGCTACTGTGGAAATAAACTTGGCCAGTCACATTTCAACCTTGTATGTGGCTTACATAGAGACCCATATACAGTACAGCATTCCCCAATTCCTTCCATCTGAGGGCTGTCTGCCTAGAAAGCTGCAGCAGCTTAAAAGAGAACTTGCTGCTTTGGTGGGAAATAGTAAAATGAGAGGTTTTAACCGTATTCAATTACGGGCTCACCATAGCCCGTGCTACATAGACATTTCGTTACGAGTAGGTAAATCTAACACATGCAGCATGAAGCGAATAATAGACCAATTAAGTCCACATAATAAATGAGGCTTGAACCATGCTCATGACGAAAAGACTGAAGCCGGGAACTTCATGCAAGTAAATGGCTCCCACATGACAATGTGATTGATTGATAAAGATTAAGCCACTCAAGAGGTGGCATGGGCATGAATAGCCCGTAAGTGGTACATGACAATGTAGAAAAGATGGCCTATACTTAGTGGTATATCATCTGGGGGGTATATTAACATGCATGTTTCCAGACATAAAGACTGAACCTTGAACTCAAAGCCCAGATTAAGAGCCGCGTCCGTTGTTAATTGTATTACTTGTGCAGACAAAAATAAGCAGTCTTGTAATCAGGTCATGAACAGGGCGCCAGTTCAGCTCCCAGGCAAGACATGATGTAAGACTACGTTAATTAGAATGACTTTCCTAATGTATGGAGTAAAGAGTGATGCAATATTTTGATTACGTCGGTCTGTATCATCCACCAGCCACGCATGTCAGCCATCCACCAGCCACGCATGTCAGCCATCCACCAGCCACGCATGTCAGCCATCCACCAGCCACGCATGTCAGACATCCACCAGCCACTCATGTCAGCCATCCACCAGCCACTTATGTCAGCCATCCACCAACCACTCATGTCAGCTATCCACCAGCCACGCATGTCAGCCATCCACCAGCCACTTACGTCAGCCATCCACCAGCCACTCATGTCAGCCATCTACCAGCCACCCGCCCTGACACCCAAGCCTGAGATCATCCACCAGCCCCTCATGTCAGCCATCCACCAGCCACTCATGTCAGCCATCCACCAGCCACTCATGTCAGCCATCTACCAGCCACCCGCCCTGACACCCAAGCCTGAGATCATCTACCATCCCCTCATGTCAGCCATCCACCAGCCACTCATGTCAGCCATCCACCAGCCACTCATGTCAGCCATCCACCAGCCCCTCATGTCAGCCATCCACCAGCCACTCATGTCAGCCGCAGCCACCCGCCCCAACACGCAACAAGTCATAGTGTCTTTAATCATGCAGATAAGTCTACAATCCTAATGTACTTTCTTGTATGTATATATATATATATATATATATATATATATATATATATATATATATATATATATATATATATATAAATAAATCAATTTAATTGACTATAAACCCGCGCTCGTCCGCTAGGCTAAGGCGAGGCAGGTTACGCCCACCTTCTAGTAGGGTCTAAGACCTGACAAAAAGTATGCACACACTGCGTCATCGCTTATCTTTTAAAACACACCTAATCTAACCTAATCTAACCTAACCTAGCCCAAGCTTACCCAACTTAATCTATCGTAGCATAATCTACCCAAAGGTAAAGAAAATAAATAGATTGTTTTGTTTTATATATGGTGTGGACCAGATGTGTGACGTCACTATGATGTCATAGTGGCCGTGTTGATACAGGTTTTAGATCCTATGATGGAGCTTAACATCCCATTTTCTATGTTAAAGTTTTTTCTTTCTGATACAAATATGGAAATCATCTCCTGCACTTTCGGACGTTATATAATGCAATTATCTCAATAAACACACTTGAATTTGAACTTGAATGATTGAAATACGATATTTTGACTTGGTTTCGGAAGTTTGGTAAGAAACATTTATATTGTCAACTATATTTATAGTCTTTAAATATAAAAATGTCTGGAGTCATCTTCTGAACCCGGTCAATAAATATATATATTCATTTTTTGCTGCTATTTGAGGATGCTGAACGTGTTTCTATATATGGAGGTATGTGTTCCTTCACATTATAAGTGACGCTGCTTACTAATCTAATTGTGTCCAGTTTTTTTTTAGTGGTTGGGAAAATGTGTCAAAAATTTATAAAACGGTTGGATATTTTTTTTAGTAAAATTTGTGCGTGTATATTAGGTCAAGTATTTTTACTTAATGGCCACTAACACACTATACTAGCCTCGACAAGGACAGGAAGCCGGTGGCTTGTCAAAGGTCTCTCCATTTGCCCTGTTGATTTTTCAAGCTGGATTGTAAAATTTAAGTTTTGGTATTTACGGCTTCGGCGGGTAGGCGGTTTCATGGGTGGGTGAAAAACTTCCAACTTGTGGGTGAAAAAGCATCTCCTGTTTTCAGTCCTACATTGTAGTTTGTTGAGTTTGAAACCGTCGTTTCTTGTATTACATATGACTTTTTGAAGAAATTGTCCGGATCAGCATCCTCTAAATTGTTCAGTATTTTAAAAGTTTCACTGAGATCTGCTCTGTCATGTCTGTGGTCCTCAGTCGTTCCTGATACAAGAGATGACTTAGCTCTGGAATGATTTTTATTGCCCGGTATTGCACTTTCTCTAAAGCAGAAAGCCTCCACATTTCTTCCACATGTGTAGTAACTTTTGTTTATTATGTTCCATTGATTCCACCTATAGGAATGTATTTACTCAATGATAATGATGGCGTGACAGAGTCGGGGTATATGATGCACGTCTATAATGCTTTTGAGGAATGAATTATCAGGAGAAAGCGCCAAGTCATGACGACTATATAGCACTGGGAAGGGGTCAGGATAAGGATTTGGGATGGGAAGGGGGAAAGGAATGGTGCCCAACCACTTGTGGACGGTCTGGGATTGGTTTTGAGACAAAAAAATATGTTTTCACTAATTAAATCATCACTTTATGCTTATTTAAAAGGTTTCTCTCGCCCAACCACTTGGGCTGAACGGTAGAGCGACGGTCTCGCTTCATACAGGTCAGCGTTCAATCCCCCAACCATACACAAGTGATTGGGCACCATTCTTTTCCCCCGTCCCATCCCAAATCCTTATCCTAACCCAGTGCTAGATTCATGGACTCATATGAATATCATTAATAACTCGAGCGAAGCAGGCAAAAAATATATTTACACTAAATTATCACTTTATGCTTGTTTTAAAAAAAGTTTTTTCTCGCCTAACCTTTACACAGTCTGCTTCGCGCTTTCTCCCGAACATTCCCTTCTCAATCTTGCCTTATCAAATTAAATTCCTCTCGTCCCCCCCATTAAAAAAATAATGGGATCTTGGAGTAATAAAAATAAAATGGGGACTGGGGCGTCGCCTTTGAGTCAAGTGACTGGGAAAGCGACGACTCCCAATAGCCTCAGTGTTGTTGTGACCACGGGAGGGTGAGGGTGTGTGCGGGCGCGTCTCCTACCTCATGTGTGTGCCTCCTGGTTAATTGGCCTTCCCAATCCCCTACACCCGCTCTAGGCCATTAGCTGGCCCTCCCAAAATGGCCGGAACAGGTACGTCCGTCATTGCTATAGCCGTTTATTCCGGCCCGGGGGAAGTTAGTGGGTTATATATGTATATATATGAAACTGGTGATCGTACACAGCTGTGTTAGCAATGGTCGTGAACAGCTGTTGAGAGTCGAGCCTGGCGCACATCTGGCCCAGCAATGACCCTAAACAGGTGTTAGTGTCAAGCCTGGCACACATCTGGCCCAGCAGTGGCCCTAAACAGGTGTTAGTGCCAAGCCTGGCACACATCTGGCCCTTAACAGGTGTCAGTGCCAAGCCTGGCACACATCTGGCCCAGCAGTGGCCCTAAACAGGTGTCAGTGTCAAGCCTGGCACACATCTGGCCCAGCAGTGGCCCTAAACAGGTGTTAGTGCCAAGCCTGGCACACATCTGGCCCTTAACAGGTGTCAGTGCCAAGCCTGGCACACATCTGGCCCAGCAGTGGCCCTAAACAGGTGTCAGTGCCAAGCCTGGCCTCCACACAGCTGACCCAGCATTAAATATCTCGTATAATTGCTACACCATGGCACCCAACAAACAAGCTAATTAAACCCAGACATATTTGCCTGAATTTACCCCCCGAGGGCCACTCTAGTGGCCTCGACGAGGACAGGAAGGCGGCGGCTTGTCAGTGGTCCCTCCATATTTCCTATGCATTGGCCTTTAATCCTGAGCAAAATTTTAAGACTTGGCAACATGGGATTATTTACCATAAAAAAGTAAACAAAAAAGTAATATATGCGACAGCTGCTAACGCTGATGTTAAGACCTTATAAGGTGATGAACTTTATTCACTGTCTCGGGGGACAGGAAGCCAGCTTGTGTTCATACACGTTTTGGCTTTTATCGAGGCTGTAGGTTAATATTATTTTGCACGATAAAAGGCATCGTATGGGGGTCCACTACCACCCACGGGATGGGTATGGGGTCCATTACTGCCCACGGGATGGGTATGGGGTCCATTACTGCCCACGGGATGGGTATGGGGTCCATTACTGCCCACGGGATGGGTATGGGGTCCATTACTGCCCACGGGATGAGTATGGGGGTCCATTGCTGCCCACGGGATGGGTATGTGGGTCCATTACTGCCCACGGGATGGGTATGGGGTGCACTACCGCCCACGGGATGGGTATGTGGGTTCACTACCGCCCACGGGATGGGTATGTGGGTCCATTACTGACCACGGGATGGGTATGGGGGTTTACTACCGCCCACGGGATGGGTATGTGGGTCCATTACTGACCACGGGATGGGTATGGGGGTTCACTACCGCCCACGGGATGGGTATGGGGGTTCACTACCGCCCACGGGATGGGTATGGGGGTTCACTACCGCCCACGGGATGGGTATGGGGGTTCATTACTGACCACGGGATGGGTATGTGGGTCCATTACTGACCACGGGATGGGTATGTGGGTCCATTACTGACCACGGGATGGGTATGGGGGTTCATTACTGACCACGGGATGGATATGGGGGTTCACTACCGCCCACGGGATGGGTATGGGGGTTCATTACTGACCACGGGATGGGTATGTGGGTCCATTACTGACCACGGGATGGGTATGGGGGTTCATTACTGACCACGGGATGGGTATGGGGGTTCACTACCGCCCACGGGATGGGTATGGGGGTTCATTACTGACCACGGGATGGGTATGTGGGTCCATTACTGACCACGGGATGGGTATGGGGGTTCATTACTGACCACGGGATGGGTATGGGGGTTCACTACCGCCCACGGGATGGGTATGGGGGTTCATTACTGACCACGGGATGGGTATGGGGGTTCATTACTGACCACGGGATGGGTATGTGGGTCCATTACTGACCACGGGATGGGTATGGGGGTTCATTACTGACCACGGGATGGGTATGGGGGTTCACTACGGCCCACGGGATGGGTATGTGGGTCCATTACTGACCATGGGTATGGGGGTTCACTACCGCCCACGGGATGGGTATGGGGGTTCACTACCGCCCACGGGATTTGTATGGGGTCCACTACCCTCATCACCTCATCTACCAAGATGAGGTGATGGGGGGTGTCCTTAGAGGTAGTGATATCCTACAGGATAACGTGAAACTTTATAGCCTATGGTCCAAATATGGCGAATATAGCTTGTGGTTCAAATATGGCGACTATAGCCTGTGGTCCAAATATAGCGAATATAGTCTATGGTCAAAATATGGCGAATAGGGGTTCTCATCCTAGTTTCCTTGTAGTTTGTTTAGGCTGAGTTATGATAGTTGTTTCCCAGGTCGCCTTGTATGGCCAGGAGTGGATAATGGCAACTTCTGCCCTGTCATAGTTATCTTCTCCTAAAATTGTTTTTGAATTTGATCTTGATTTTGTATTGCTACTTTAGTAGGGTGATTGTGAGCGAGTGCCCAACATGCTCTCACTCTCTCTCCAGCCTGGCCTCCTAAGGTGTCTCAAAGTCAAGAAAACAGTCAATTTTAAAGTGGTTTCTCCTAACTTACCAGAGGCCCCAAAACAGAAAACGGGTCAGTACGCCCCAATCGATTTAATACATACGGTATTGCTATACTGTATAGTATATATAGATTCATATTTTACAGTTTCATTTTTTACTTTGAGATAATGTAAATTTTTCACGCAATGATGCAAAAATTTTACGGAAAAAGGCAGTACGTGAAGAAGGGAGTCTTAACTGCATTCAATTGGGCTGGGGAGGGTTAGGGGGGCTGGGGCAGGGATTGGGGGGGTTGCAAACATGTATAGAGTTACTGTTGCTAACATAAGCCAGATCTCCTGTGGGGATATCCAGGTTCACTTCTATCAAAAAGCTTTTAATTAATCTAGTAATCCCGCATTCACGGGTGAACGTGTCGCTATTCTGTTTTATGCTCAGATCATCTGATGCAAGTTGAGTGCTGCTGGCGAAGAGTTTCAGGCACGGGTGGTGGGCTGGCTCCAGGAGGGTCAGGTGTCTGGCTCCAGGAGGGCCAGGTGTCTGGCTCCAGGAGGGTCAGGTGTCTGGCTCCAGGAGGGCCAGGTGTCTGGCTCCAGGAGGGCCAGGTGTCTGGCTCCAGGAGGGCCAGCTGTCTGGCTCCAGGAGGGCCAGCTGTCTGGCTCCAGGGAAGAGGCCCCCAGCTGTCTGGCTCCAGCGTACCAAATGACTGGAGCAAGAGTTAGGTTGGTCAGAGTTCCTTGTTTGAGAAAGTTGTTAGTGTGCGTGTAAAATGACTGTGCCATTTTTCATGTCTGGGACATTTTATATTTATTTTCTACCACAGACGTGGCATACTTACACAATTGTAAACAACGGCCATATTTTCTTGTCCCACATAAACAGGGTTAGAGATCTGCTCTATCTGTAGTCCAGTAGATTATAGATTCTTCAAGTGGTTTTATTGGGATATTAAATATCTGTGATAAAGTAGCTTAGGCTACTTCTACTCTTATGGGTTAAAGAGTAGCTTAGGTTACCGTTCTTTTATTGGTTAAAGAATAGCTTAGGTTACCGTTCTTTTATGCGTTAAAGAATAGCTTAGGCTACCGTTCTTTTATGGGTTAAAGAATAGCTTAGGTTACCGTTCTTTTATGCGTTAAAGAATAGCTTAGGCTACCGTTCTTTTATGGGTTAAAGAATAGCTTAGGCTACCGTTCTTTTATGGGTTAAAGAATAGCTTAGGCTACCGTTCTTTTATGGGTTAAAGAATAGCTTACGCTACCGTTCTTTTATGGGTTAAAGAATAGCTTAGGCTACCGTTCTTTTATGGGTTAAAGAATAGCTTAGGCTACCGTTCTTTTATGGGTTAAAGAATAGCTTAGGCTACCGTTCTTTTATGGGTTAAAGAATAGCTTAGGCTACCGTTCTTTTATGGGTTAAAGAATAGCTTAGGCTACCGTTCTTTTATGGGTTAAAGAATAGCTTACGCTACCGTTCTTTTATGGGTTAAAGAATAGCTTAGGCTACCGTTCTTTTATGGGTTAAAGAATAGCTTACGCTACCGTTCTTTTATGGGTTAAAGAATAGCTTAGGCTACCGTTCTTTTATGGGTTAAAGAATAGCTTAGGCTACCGTTCTTTTATGGGTTAAAGAATAGCTTAGGCTACCGTTCTTTTATGGGTTAAAGAATAGCTTAGGCTACCGTTCTTTTATGGGTTAAAGAATAGCTTAGGCTACCGTTCTTTTATGGGTTAAAGAATAGCTTAGGCTACCGTTCTTTTATGGGTTAAAGAATAGCTTAGGCTACCGTTCTTTTATGGGTTAAAGAATAGCTTAGGCTACCGTTCTTTTATGGGTTAAAGAATAGCTTAGGCTACCGTTCTTTTATGGGTTAAAGAATAGCTTAGGCTACTTAAACTCAGCTCTGAGTTACAGGTTACTCTCCAGAGCATGTGTGGAACACAGAAATCACAATAGCGTGATGCATCAAATGAACAAATCCACAAGGGCCGTGACGAGGCTTCACATATAACGTCTCTCTCGGACTAAGGTTCGAACCCTCGTCACGGCCCTTGTGGATTTGTTCATGTGTGTGTATTCTGGCCCAGGGCAGTGAGTCGTCCCTGGAGGCAGTGTCGGAAGTAGCAGCAGGAATCCCGGGGCTTGAGAAAGGTGCCCTTGTGGGCGGGAAGTTCTGCGAGGGGTCAGGTTAGCGTTGAACGCTAATTTCTTGTTTTGACGACGGCTTGACAAACACATTGACTCGTTATGTTAACCGACCAACACAATACTGATATGCGCCAACGGGATTGCCGACTCTCGCAAATCTGCCCAACGGTATTGCCAACAGTAGCAAATCTGAGCAACGGTTACGCCAAGACACACATCTACATAATAGTTACACACACACACATTTTTGATAGGGGCACCATATGTTGTGTGTGTGTAATTACTTAAGTGTAGTTACAGGATGAGAGCTACGCTCGGGGTGTCCCGTCTTCCCAGTACTCTTTGTCATATAACGCTTTGAAACTACTGACGGTGGAGGCCAAGACCGTCAGTAGTTTCAAAGCGTTATATGA